AATTCAGGCCTCCTCTGTAATCCTGCGTGGGCCTCAGCCGTCCTCACCTCTGCCTGAGCTGCCTGTGTGCATGCGCACGGCCCTCTGCGCTCACCGGCATCCCAACTGCACAACCAGATGTGCAAGCTGGACCTCTTCTCAGTGTGTCTTCTATTATGTGAGTGATTCGGTTTTTCTCTTTTCAAATTAGTTCTGAATGAATTAGTCATCTGAAATCTCAACGAGTCTGTTTAAAAATTCAAAAATGTTATCATATGGCACCCTACAATATGTGACAATGGAGGTCCATTTTATTTTCCTTTTTTTTAATGCACAAAAGTATTCTGGTGAAATCAAAAGAACAGAAACACAGTGCTTTAAATAATGTTAAATATGACCTATAGAAAAACTAATGAGGATAAGCAATCAGCAGTTGCATACTTACTGTGAGATTTTATTAGTGTAAAGTTTTTTTTCCTCATGAGCCCAAATGATATAAAAACGTAGCAAGAGACACTGTCTCAGCAGTTCAATAACTAACCACTACTTAATATTGCCCAGAAAGACAATCAGATAATCTAGGAATCTGTATTTACATCATAATTAACCACTACTTAGTATCGCCCAGAAAGAGAATCAGATATCTAGGAATCTGTAGTTACATCATAATTAACCACTACTTAGTATCGCCCAGAAAGAGAATCAGATAATCTAGGAATCTGTATTTACATCACATTAAGGCACTGGACCACTGGAAGTTTGTGATAAGTTGTATCAGTCCATCTCCAGAGGCCTGAAGTTTAAATACGGGGTGGCCACAAAGTTCACGTACGATTTAAAATTGTATACTATTTTGAATTGCACATGAATTGTACAGCTTCCCGGTACTTTATGTATCAATTATGGCAACATTAAATCAACTCCATTAGCACATATTTTGGAAGAGAGACAAATTGACACACAATTAATTCTTGGTTTAGCCACGGCAGACGGAAACTATAGAAAACTGAAGGCCACAAATTAGTCTGAA